GACATGATGCAAGTTTTCAGGTTTATCTTATTTATTTTTTTTTTTTTTTTGTTTGTTTTGTTTTTTTTTTTTTTTTTGTTTTTTTTTTCCCCCTTATTCTTTCGGTGGATGTTAATAAATGAAAAATGTCAAAGTTCGAAAATAACTAAATCCAATTTTGACTTTTTTTGCCAAAGTTGAGTGCGCAATATACGTCATGGAAGTCATGCGCGCATGCGCAAGTTTTTCAAAATCGCGTCCCACATGGAAAGGATTGATTATTAGTTTTAAGGTATCAGAGATACAAGTGAATCATCGAGTTTGCTGGTCATAGCAAGGGGTTAATCATCTACGGTCTAGAGGCCGACTAACCTCTCCCTTAACCTTCGGCCGAGCTCCCTGATCAGTCTGTAAATCTTCGGATAGCGGTGTCGGGGCCTAAATCTCCGGCGTAGCCATAAATGCTTCGCGCTGCCATACGACGGTTCAGCACTTGATGTCTGGAAGTATGGTCCTAAATAAATTTTGCAACTGGTAAAAAAAATCATAGAAAAGTTTTTCATAAATAATTAGTAGACAAATTCTTTGTTTGCGTATGACGTCATAGTCGCCATCTTGGTTAAAAATTGTTTTTGGATTAATTTGTTATAACCAACATAGCCTGTGTCTTTTTTTATTTTATTCCCTTGGGAATGATTGAAAACCAGCAGGAGGTAGATCTCAGTATTCTCATTGTTTTCTTTTGTGCCTATTTGACTATTACATATTCAAGTATTAATTGTTTCACTGGTGTTGTAAAAGCACCAAGAAAACCAAACATTGAAGGTAAAATATTATGTTTTTATAAATTATCTTTAGTTGTATTCACTACACCAAGTAATGGACCACACAAAACACCTAATAAAACTATAACAGAAAGACTCAGTGAAAACTGATGTGCCCAGAGATTGCAGTGGGGAGAAGGGAGAGGAAAAGTAGGTCTTCCTCCACAGGAATCCCAAAACACTCACCCTTACTGGACTCAGAGAGAAAAGTGGTACTGCTCGTAGTAGTCTAATTGGTAGAATAAAATTTTCTCCTTTAGGAAATAAAATTTCTTGTCATGGAAAAAAATCCACCGTTCCTGTCCTACAACATGGCTGTCGTCAACACCTTTTCTAACTATTTTCCAAGTGCGCTGAACTAGACGAACAAACATTTTAAATGCAATATTTGCACAACAAAGACAAAATAGTCAAATCAATATGGGTCGCCTGTGATTTCTATAACTTAAAATTTGGAAAAGAAATTAAGGAATAGACCCTATTGGTTTGGGTGTAATGTTTTCCCATTTCAGACCATGTGCCATTCCCTTGAGTTTCCCATGGGAAGACACATGTCGAATATGGATACAACTCAAGCAAAGAATCATACTCTCAAGAGATTGACACATGGTTTAAAAACTGGAAAACATTAGGCCCAAACCGAAAATGCCTCCTGATCTCAGACTGACTTTTCTCTTACAAATGTCAAAGAAAAAAGGTAAAGATTTTGAATATCAATATTTTTTACACATTATTTAACCAAACTAAAATATCTAAATGTTCCAGATCATCTTGACACCCTGACAGATGCCGACATCATTGATATTGAAATAGCAAAGCCCAACAAATTGTAAGACAGTGAGGACAAGCCATATTGCTTTGGCATACGTTGGTAACTTTGGTCCTTTGTTGACGTAATCTGCCAGTATTGCATGGATGCCCCTAAAAACACAATAGTTGTAATACTCCAGTTAAAAGTTCTCTGTTGCTCAGTGTTAGCCTTAATTTTGTGTAGAATATTAATGTGTTCCATTGGCATCCCCAGGGCTTAAAATAATGGCTGGACAACAGACAATGTCGTCTGGCCAGAACTGGGACTTGTCGGGTCAAATCTTTGCCTTGCCGCTCAATTTAAGCAGTAATGTTGAGCCAGAAATAAGGTATTTATCAAATTGAGCTGATTCTCGCAGTATACCAAGCAGCTTATGCAGCTGCAAATTAAAAGTGCACGAACAAGATTTGAACCCGTGCCCTGAAGATTCCGGTGCCATGCTCTAACCACTGAGCTACCATGTGTCTCATGAGACTTTAAAGACACAATAGGTGAGTTTATCAGCCCGATAGGAGGTATATATATATGTGTGTATGAGAATACATATGAAATATATATTTGTACAAGGTATGACCGAGCTAAAACTGATCCCATAGTTCAAGATGGCCACCGTTTCAATAAAAGGTTCTATTACTCCTTACCAGTGATTGTGTACAGGGATGCAGACAGCAAGACCCCAGTCAACAGCTGCACATGGATAGAAGATACCCGCAGGTATGAGAGCCAGGAGAGCTATGCTGAAACCTCTCTCCCATAACCAATGAGTCGGTGCATTAGCTGGAGCAATTTCTATGCAAGAAAGATTTGGGAGATGAGATTCTTTATAACGTTGACATGTCTAAAACATTGAACCAACAGAACTGATAGAACCACCAGTATTAAAACCTTCACTAATTTGAAGATTTTAGTGAGTTCAGATCATTATTTGCTATGAGATCACTTGCCTCTCATCACTACAACCCAGGTTCAAGTTCCACCGTGTTTGGTGTCATGTGTGATTCGAGTTGTTTCTTGGTTCTCTCATGTGCTTCAAGGGTTTTTCTTCAGGATCTCAGGTTTTCCTAACCTCCGCAAAAATCAAATTCTAAATTCCAATTTGATGATGGAATGAGGACCACAGGATTTTTAGCCACTGGCTATTAAGTGCTACCTTCTTAAAAACAAGGGAGTTTTTTATATTGATGATAGTGTGTGTATGGTTTTTATTCACAGCTTTATGACAACGATATCAAACCTAATTGTGCAATAAAAAATGGTTATGCAATGGTTTTGGTGGTATACCATGTGATATTCCATGGCAATCATGTTTTCATGTATATACACACAGTTTGTGTACAAGACAAGTGGGATATCGCATGGTATTGCTTTTCATGGTTTTCAACCATTCCCATGAGAATGAAATAACAAAAGACATGGCGGCCATGTTGGATGATATAACAAAAGAAACTAATGACGAATATTTTGTTAAATTCATCCAACATGGTGGCTGTGAAAACCATCAATACAACTATTTGAAATAATTGTATACCTAGTAAGGATTTATATTTGGGTTATACTAGGACTACGAACCTAAAGCAGTCTTGTTCTTGGACGATGAAGAGTGAATGGCTTTGGTCAGGAGAACTTTAACGAAAACATAAAAAAAATCAATAATCTTATAGAGATTAAGCTTATGAAAACATCTAACACGAATTAAAAGCGAAAAAGCAAAGTAGTGATTCAATAAAGTAACGAGTTGGCTGGACATGAGAAAGAGCACGTCTTCAAACTCACCATTTTGATTCTGAATCTTCGGCGAACAAGTGGCCGAACAGGACGCTAAAACTGGCCTGGCTGAGTTAAAAACTACAAATATAGGAGGAAGAATATAGCTTTTATATGTTTTGGTCGTAAAATTTTTATTTTTTATTTTTTAGCGGTGGTTTTCTTACCAAAACGTGTAGCTGTTCGACTGCAAAGTCGACTGCACAAAATGGCTGCCATCTTGTTCTCTTGGTAAATGCCCAGGACTGCGCGTTTTGGAAAAATGTAGGAAGCCCACATATTTGGGACCGGACTGTTCACTGTGTAAATCTCGTAATTGCCCTATTTCACTATGACGTCACTGCTTGTTAATGTGGGGGATATGATCGCCAAATCCAATAGAAAATTCAACAATATTTGTTCCTAGCGAAACAGTTTAATCTAAGATGGCCTGGTTTTCAGATATATACTAAGAAATATTCTGAGCGTCTGCTGGCTATCCTACTTCTCTTCGTGTATTCATACGGGTTTTAGAACAATTTTCGGTAAATTATCGTTGATTTGACCCCCTCCGACAACCATTATCCTTTGCGTTTAAACAATAAATTGTTTTGATGTGACGTCATAGTCAAATATATATAGGGCAATTGTGATGTTGTTTTTTTTAGATGCTTGACTTGTGTCATTGTTTTTGATGCATTTTGATGATTTTTTGGGGGGCGACGTATTCATTGCTAAGGCTCCCTAAATCAGACTGAAAACTTATACATATTTTTGCAAATTGCCATGGTAGAGTGCACGCACTAAAACCGTGAACATTAAATAGTACTAATTAGTACTATTTCATACAGAATCCTTTGTTTTCTATTGTTTAATTATCACTATTTAGTGCTAGAAATAAGTATTTGTTTCACGGATTTAGTGTGAGCACTCTACTATGTTGATAATCGTACATGTAAAGTTGCATGCGTGATAAACAAGAAAACCACGATTCAACTTTTAAATTTTTCTCATGATTTTGAGCACAAAGGTTGACAGCCTCTTTACTTCATTTAATTAAACACAGGAAACCCACGGAAGTTTATTTCCTCGCTTTATATAGCTTTTCTTCTTCTAGAGTATTGCCCCATCTAAGTGTTACGCGATGATTTTGGTACACTGAAACATCAATTTGTGGCCGTACAAACAGTTATTTGGTGTAAAAAATGCATGCCATTCCGCGCGCCGTATTCAAATGATAAATAAATGCAAGAATAATAAGTACTGCAACACTGAGAAGATCCTAGTGACAATTTAATTCTTCATTCTTCACTTTCTCCTTCGCTGTTATTTCCAACGCTAAACGAATGCGTGCTGTCTCTTTTGGTCTCCATGGATACTGTCCTTCTCCTCCTCTTCATCCAAGGGTGTCCCAGGACTTCCTCAAGAGTGATTCTAGTGGATATGTCCGCTGTCAGCATTTTCTTAATCAAATCTTTGACTTGCTCAGACAAACACGATGCCCGCGTAGGATAGGTGATATCACCAGCCAGGGTAAGTCGGAGAAGCTGTTTCCGATCGCGGTCGTCGAATGGGAACTGTCCCGTTACCATGGAAAAGAGGACCACACCCAAACTCCATACATCACTGCAGGTTGCATCGTATGGGATACCTGTATCAAGAGAACATGCAAAATGATGTCATTGTCGTTCTCAGAGCCTGTTGCGCAATAGACCAGTTTCGAATTCCAAATTACCGCTGTGTTCCTTGATTACAGACTCATTTACACAGGGTTAGCCTCGTATCAGTGTTTAAATATTCACAAATACCAACAGAAAAGTAAAGAATGCACAACTTCAACAATACAAACATTTTGAAACTCGACGGACCTGGACTGGAACACGTGAATATTCTGCACAAACTCGAGGCTAACCCTGTGCAAATGAGTCTATAATCAAGAAACACAGCGGTTATTTGGAACTCGAAAAGGGTCTATTACAAGTCGCTTACGGACAAAAGAGCGAGCTCGGGGAGCGGGAATAAAAGTGATGTCATTTAGTTTCGCGCCAACGAAAAAGGAACGGATGTGCTTAAGGTGTAATAGGCCTAGTATATAATATTTGATTTGGCTGTGTTTAATGTGTTTTTGAACGCGCGAACTTGAATAATGCGCTCACTTTACAGTATTGATGGATTCTACAGCCGCCATGTTGGATGAATTTAACAAAAGTTAGAATCGTCATTATTGATCCGGCATGACCGCCTAGCTTTTTGATAGTTTCATTGTCTTGAGAATGATTGAAAACTGGACAAAATACAAACAAAATTTTAATTTGCTTCAAACGGTTCGCCTTGATTTAATTTCCTTTCACCACGAGCGAGTTTGAATCCAGCGGACGCTACATGTGGATAGCCGCGTTGTACGTGTGAACATTGCTTGCGTTTGCGTTTGCGTTGCTCGTGTGAACCAGGCTTTAACACGAGGGTTTTTCTTTGGTTTCTGTGATTTTTCTCCCTCATTAAATCAATAATTAACATGACCATCAAAAATCCTCGATTCTGATTGGTTGGCTACTCGGCGACTTTCCCCAAATCACAGTGCAAAAAAGTGAAATCACAGTGCAAAAAAGTGAAATCACAGTGCAAAAAAGTGAAATCACAGTGCAAAAAAGTGAAATCACAGTGCAAAAAGTTGAAGTCACAGTGCAAAAAAAATCTTTTTAAATAAAAAGTAAAAAAGAAATCAAATCTATTTACATTTAAAATCAATGTCTTTTATTATCATTATTATTAGACTAGTAGTTTTTTGTTTTTTTTTTCTCGTGCAATTTGAAAAGTTCAGCACTCGTGAAGATTAAAAATTGAGAATGAAAATGCACTCGCCTCGGAAGACTCGTGCAATTTAACATCTTAATGTTTAAGCTTCATTCGTGCTGAATTTTTTTCAAATTGCACTCGAAGCCATTCGATTTCCTATACAAAAGCATCAAAACATCACTAACCTTGGAGTATTTCAGGCGCAGCATACGCATATGAACCACAGAAGGTACAACTTCTTGAGCGAGTTTGACAAGCTTCATTTTTCCCGCCAACATAGCGAGCAAAGCCAAAGTCTGATATGATTGGCTCGTTCTTGTTTGATAGCAGGATGTTCTCAAGCTTCAGATCCCTGTGCGCAATACCTTTATGGAAAAAAAAAGGAAAATAGCTTGTGTAGAGTAAGTAAGTTTTTTCATTACGGAAAAGCGCTTGCAGATCGATGCCTTTTGTATTTTATATAGGCCTTTTCTGAGATACACCGGAAGTGAGCGAACGCAAAGCATTATGGTCTAGATTAGGTACAAATACGATCAACATACCATCTTGAAGAGAACGTATAGTGAAAACACGGACGACAATATGCCTCGCTGTGCAGTTTTTGGCTGCAGTAATGATACAAGATACAAGGAAAAGTAAGATGTAATAATTTATAGTATTTTCTGAGAATTTTGGGAGAGGTATGTTGTTCATTATAAGCAATAAATCCGATAGAAACCAACTGACTTATCGTATTGTTAATTTCGATAGACATGCTACATGTAAAAGAGAATCTTGGCGATACATCAACCATCAAATTCCATGCATGTCCCAAAAGTCATGGTAAAAGAAGTGGGCCGATTTATTATACCGAAAAGGAATGTCTAAACTAACTGGTGTGCAGTTAATCACTTTGAGTATGGGAAATATCATTAGGAGTAGTATGAAATTGGCCTTTGGCTTAGTGAACAGCAGCATTTTAAACGAAGTCAGAATTTTGCCTTTTGATTTAGGTTTGTTACACTGTTGAGGCTTTGAAGTGCAGGCAATATTGCAACCCTGCTCAAGGGCGGATTCAGGGGGAGGGTCGGGGGGGTCGCGACCCCCCTGTCATTCCTGAGGTCAAATGGGCTTCCTATGGTAAAAATGCGACTGGGATTCCTTTGCCAACGAAATTTACCCCTGAGACCCCCCCTTCAAAAAACCCTGGATCCGCCCTTGCTGCCCTACCTCTCTTACAATAAGATTAAGAAATGCCTTGCAAAATCCTCTCAAACTGCAAAAATGAATAAATAAATAAAATAAATAATAGTAGTAGTAATAATAACAATACAAAGAATGTGTCTTTAAATTGTGCTATTAAATGACATCCCCTAATACCAATGGAAACTAAATTACCTATCATCTAAGATATTTTGCAGTAATATTGAGATACAAGTTATAGATTAGCTTTTCAATTATCTTATGGTGCATGAGGGTGATCCTGAAGGGGGATCCTAATCCCATTTCCCATGCCAAATTTTACCTAAATCCCAGCCTATGATTGCTCAAATCTCAATCCCATTTCCAGTTTTGATTGCTTTCTGTTATAAATGAATCCCATTCCCAGTACATAAAATCCCATTTCCCAACCCCCAAAAAAGGCAAATTCCCATTTGTACTCCTTATAGACACTCTGTATTGTATATACTTTTTCAAATACTGATATTTTTATTTTTAAAAAGACATCATCATTATAGCATTATATCATAATATCATAATATTATTATATCATTATAGCATACCCTGCAGGGCAAGCACAATATGCTGCTTCAATATGAAGTTCTACCCACACCATGTATGGATCTTAAGTCCTGGACATTGCCGGGTTTACCATAGATAAAGGACCATAATTTTAACTCTATGGGATAATTTAGAGCTTTCCTTTCCAAATGCAATGTAATGAGCAATCAGMCATATCTTTTAAGGACCTATTTCTCTGTTGTTTAAACCAAACGGATTGATYCTTAGTGATAGAGTTCTTATTCATAAGATTATTTACGTTTATCAATATACATAATCAGACATAATGACATCTAGACCTGTGGTACTGGAAAGATTGTTCAATTTCGACTGATTTGGAAGCCTGGAAGCTTGATAAGACCGTTTTCTAAGATTAAGAGATTTTCTTTGTCCTTGAAGATCAGCTTAAGTATTTTCAGGTTTCGGGCGGAGAGGGAAAGCCAGATTATTCGCTGCCCCGGCAAGTATCGTGAAATGGGATTCCTCGCTTTTGCAAGAAAGAACCAAGTTCATCATTTTTCACTTCAGAAAAGTCTTTAGTATTCACATCCATGGCCATTTAGCGTAAAACAGAAGCACGATTTAACACTTGCTGGCTGATTCGTGGAGAGCAAAGATTCGTTGCAAAACTTGGAACATTCACAGGTTTTTCCTATATTTTGTTTGTACCGAATCTAGACSATAATGCTTTGCGTTCGTACACTTCCGGTGTATCTCAGAAAAGGGCTATGGTGCAATCCCCATTAGTTATATATAAATCAAGTTACTCTCATCAAAAAACAAACAAACAAACAAACAAACAAACAAACAAGAATAAATAAAACAAGCAGAAGACAGACAAGAGAAAAAAGAATAACTTGATTTTTATAAGTAATGGGTTTGCACCATATAAAATACAAAAGGCATCGAGCGAAAGCAATCACGAAGGAATGCACTGATAGTTGTCAGGAATATATTAGCATAAATTTATGAACCGGAAAAGAGACTGTAGAGTTCTTGCCTTGTGACTTCCCAACTTCAAGGGCCATTTWAAAAATATTAGAATGAATCAACCGACATGAGCTYTTATAGGTACAGATTATATATCTTTGAAAAGACGTAGCTAAATTTAAAAAACAATCGTTCGAGCCGTTTATGGGAAATCGTGGAAAACGCAAAACTTCGAAGATTTACTAAATCTTTACTTAAAAACGCTCTTCGAAAAAAAAAATCGTTTTCAAGACCAGCAAGGAAATAGTTGACCAAACTCACACAGTTTAAAAACAAGAGCAACAGCAACATTTTAGGATATTTTTGAATAATTTTATTCAATAGTAATTTTTTTATACCGAGTGCGCAAAAGCGATAAACAAAACTGAGAGTATGAAATGTTCGTGCGATTTTCTCCAAATCTAACATAAGAATTTCTTTAAATCCTTGATATTTTGTTTGCCATGAATTGTGGATTCTTAGGAGTTAACAATTTTTCTACAGCACATCTGAATCGCGCGCACTTTTATTTTTTCCACTTATCTATTGATTTTCTTGCGTTGAAGACTTTGATTTTGATNGAAAAAAGTCGAGAAAAAAGTCGAGAAAAAAGTCGGGAAAAAAGTCGAGAAAAGTAAAAACAATCACGAAATTTGCATGGCACTAATCGGGCTCCGTAATATCGCATGAGCATGAGCACGAGAAGTGAACATAAAAAGCTTCCTTAAAGAATTAAGAACATTGGAACTAGACACCTTGTATAACTTCCAGACACAATTAATATATTTGACCACGTTAATGTATTGTATTGTACAGTATTATCGTATCTCACTCGAGTAGCAGCAGTCGATGCGTAGAGCTCAAAAATGGTGAGACGCATGAATAAGTATCATTTATAAGAATCTGATTCAACTGAAATTTATTTTTTCCACTTATCTATTGATTTTCTTGCGTTGAAGACTTTGATTTTGATAAAATATACATTAGTACAAACTTCAAACCAAGAGCAACAACTGGTATAAATTCTAAAATGATCCAGCAAACAGAACATTGTCAACGCGACGATTGAAAAAGTTCTGTTTGGTGGTCACGAAACTGTATCGAAACACCTTAATTTCATGACCTGTCTACATACTCAGTGACTATGAAATCTATTGTTGTAGCGTCGTTGTTGTAGCACGAACCTAAAAATATCAAATCAAGCGAAATATTTGGAATTTTTTAGAATGTCAACAAGCATAAGGAGAGCACTGAGGAAGATCAATCTTCGAAAAGTGCAACAAGTATCCACGAGTTCGCCAAATGGCGTTTAATTTCATGGCCCGTCTACATACTCAGTGACCATGAAATCTATTGTTGTAGCGGCGTTCTTCAAAGAGCTCCGACAATTGCATATCAATTGCGGGGCATTCGATAATTGTAGTTTTTAATTATAAAGGGTATTGAAAAGACCGCAGGATTACATATATCACAACCGGTAGGAACTTGTAGATAAATTGAATCACCGTCGGCAGTAACTGACGTTTCGGACGTAAGTTAGTCTTTCGTCGGAGTAAGTCAACAGATGTAAGTCAACAGGCCGTAATGAACTACCGAATGATCAGTCCTTATTAAATACATCTCAGTTTGATTTAGAATCTTATTACTGGTGCTATATAACAGCCCCATCACCCAGTCTACGCCATCGCCTGTGAGTCAGCATGAGAGTAGCACACTAAGGTGTGGGATTGCAGAATATCAAGACTATCATATCGTACGGAGCCCGATTAGTGCCATGCAAATTTCGTGATTGTTTTTACTTTTCNGTATCTCACTCGAGTAGCAGCAGTCGATGCGTAGAGCTCAAAAATGGTGAGACGCATGAATAAGTATCATTTATAAGAATCTGATTCAACTGAAACTAGCTGATTCGAAGTCGACTTGYTCTSAGAATAAGGACAAGCAAATAGATACAAGTTAAACTCGATAAAGCAGAAAAACTACCTCCTTAATTATTTCCATTATACAATGMGTTTCCCTTTCAAKAAGATATTTTTTGCTAGCACAATCATTCTGTCGTTCTTGATTCTGGCTGCAACTTATCTTCGTGTTYATCGGTCTCTTASGACAGCAATGAAACAAGTACGAATGGAAAAAGTCGAAGAGAATAACGAAAAACAAGCAAGGTTGAACGAAACSATGATTTCAAAAACTTCGGGGCTTTTGGAGATAAAGAACACAGGAAAACAAGTGAAAATGACAGCAACAGTAGAGGGGAAAGCACAYTTGAAACTACATCCGCAAAACAAGTCACAAGAGATGCAATATAAACTAGTTTTGATCTATACTCCATKGTTTGGAATTATGCCATGGCCACAATTCAAGAACACGTATGAGTTCACTCATTTTAGTGGCAAATCCTGCAAGGAATCAAGATATGTAGACTGACATATGATAAAAAGGATCGGGCAAGAAGCGACGCGGTAATGTTTCATGGAACAGACTTACCAAGCGTAAATACAATGAAAGAGATGTCACGAAACAGAAGTTTGAATCAAAGATGGGTTTTCTTCATTCTTGAAAATCCTTACTATACTTTTATTAATACAAACATGTATAACGGTTTCTTCAACTGGACGATGACTTACCGAAGAGATTCGGATATTTTCGCACCTTATAGATATTACACACCATTGGATTCAACTGAGACGTCAATCAACAAGAAGCAAAGGAACTATGCTCAAGGCAAAGACAAGTTTATAGCGTGGATGGTTAGTAACTGTGGAAGTCTTAGAGACAAGGTAACAGCAAAACTCCTTAAGTATGTCAACGTTACGGTGTTTGGGCCGTGTGGGAAACATTTTAACCAAACTAATCGTTGCGATAGAAAACCATACAGTGGTTGTGGAAAGCTTTTAAAAAGATTCAAGTTTTATTTATCCTTTGAGAATAGGAACTGTATTGATTACGTCACTGAGAAATACTGGTACACTCCTTTTGGTCATGACATGGTYCCTATCGTATTAGGGCCTCTAAAGTACGATTCAAAAATTGCAATTCCAGGCTCGTACATCAATGTTATGGACTTCCCGTCCTTGAAAGATTTAGCGAGTTACTTGAAATACTTGGATAAGAACGATACAGCGTACAATGAGTATTTTCAATGGAAACTCAAGTATAAGTTTGGTGGAGATAGGAATCTTTGGAAATGCCAGGTGTGTGCTGATCTCCATAACCCAAATCTTCCCCCAAAAGTGTATGACGATTTGGGTGGTTACTGGGATAAACAGAAATCTTGTGAGAAGTATGAAGAAGAAGTCCGTAAACTATTACAAAGGTAGATTGYAGATCAGCAGTGATTTAGCATAAATTCTTGAATAAAGGAATCGAACTGAGAAATTGGCCATTTTTATAGAGTAAGAAGTACCCCTAATTTCACTGAAATTTGTATAAACTTTTCAAGATGCTGAGAACACAGTTAGCCCAAGGGCTCTGATTCCGTCAAACATGGAGTGGACATATTAAAGATAGGCGTTTTTTTTTTTGGTATGCCATTAGTAATCCAGGAAAAGCGATTGTAAATAGTTAGTCACCGACAGTCACGTTATGTATTGCAAAGGATCTATCTCGGCCAGGTATGAAGAGTGAAAAGCGCGCGCTATACGACGGATAAATCTTATCCAGTGGATTAACGTATTGGATAMCAGCATCGGCTTATCCACTGGATAAGGATTTATCCATCGGATAGCGCTATCCACCCTTTGTTCAACCGCGGGTCCTGCTGTCAGTTTAATTTTGGGAAAACACACATATAGATATATATTTTATAAGTAGTTTGTTTCGATTGGTCTTTTATAAGTAATTTAAACCTATAACTTATCTATATTTCTATATCTTCATATAATTTAAACCTTGTTCACTGAGATTWTTATATTTTATTGACGGGTCTGTTGTAATCTTTCTGAAATCGTTTTAGCCGAGACTTTAAAAGATTTTGTAATCATAGTAAGTTGTTTTCGTTAGGTATAAATCCCTAACTTGAATTATTTTTTCTACGTACGCCAAAACGAAAAATAAATAATCAATTTTGTAAYCAAACTCATACTTTGTTGTAACTGCATAAGCAATTTCGAAATTAAAYTTAACATAAATGCGTACCTTTTTCATGACAATGCAGTATTCCCTTCACAACTTTTCTAAACATAATCCTCGCTTCATTTTCTGTTAGTTTTCCTCGTTCCTGCAACAGCTTTAACATATCACCGTTATGCGCGAGCTCCATAATGATGTAAAAGCGATGTTCAGATTCCATGACTTCAAGAAGACAGATGACATTCTCGTGGTCTACTTTCCTTAGAGCTTCAACTTCGCGTCGTAAAAACTTGTTAACACTTCGATCGGACAGATTCTGCTTATCGATGATCTTTATTGCTACATTCCTGTTATAATAAAAAGGATATAGGCAACACTGATTAACTCACTATGGAAATGAAGGGCTTTAGATTTGTGAAAAATAATTCTTCTAAGCTATAATATAATTATGTGGCTATTAGTACCAAATTCTCGCGAAAAAAGCTTGCTTAAAATTTAACTTTTATTTCTTTGTTGAAAAATTTTATWCGCTTTACATGAGACTTGCTCATTTTAAGTTGCAGTTGTTCTCTTTACTACGCGTGCGCAAAATACGAGAGGCTCTTTTTAGAGCACTAGATCTCGTACTTAGAGCCTGCGTTTCTTCTGGCCTGCGGCGAAAAACGAGAAGAAAAACGGTAGAAGAGCGCATACGTTAAAAGACTTGCCAAAAAAAAAATTTTTTTTTTTTAACGACTTCTAATTCTTATTTTGATCGGAAGTAAACACAGAACCCTGTTTGAAAGCAGGTTTGAAAGCATGATTTTTATTGATTATGTTTAATTTCCGGAAAACGGCGCATGCGCCAAAAATGGGTTATGCCTGAGTCCTCGTTCTTTGCCGCAGGCTAAAAGAAACGCAGGCTCTGGGTACGAGTTTGTAGGGCTCTTAAATAATATTGGCGACAGCAAGCGGCTAAGCCACCTCAGTAGCGCGCACAGCAATTACTAACCGTTTATACCCGTCAAATCTAAAGCTCATCAATAAATGCCTACGGATGAGTAAAGTGAGGGGCGAATCGCACGATGGACGACGCGACGTAAGAAGTATTTTTGAATGGTGTGGTATGCAAAGAACAGCAAACTCTATTGTGCGCACTAACTAAAATGTTAAAAGCAAAAATAATTTGCTTTCAAATATTGCGCGCTAGCATAAGTAAAAATACACAGAGAAATCTATGCGTAAAAACAGAGANNACAGAGGACAAGACAAGTGGGTTAATGGAACCATCAACACACAACTAGGACCATTGATGTATGAAGTCAAAACAGAAGCTGGAAGTTATTGGAGAAGGCACACAGACCAAATCCAAGAAAGGAAGCATGATGAAAATCAAAGCGACCCTCAACCAAGACCAGCAGAAGATGTCTRCCCATCAGCAGTAGAACAGCCATCAGTCAGCACAACCCAGACAAGCAAGAAAGTTACCCCCGCTAAGAGCAACATGACGCAAGAAGGACAAGGCAAAGGACATCGATACCCAACAAGGCACAGAAGCCCACCAAAACGTTATATGTATGAACAATATTAGGACAGTCATAAGAGATATGAACATTCAGAGACATTATTATTKAGTTATTTTTTCTATCACAGTGATTCATAACTAAGAAGGGAGGAAATGTTAGATTTGCATTGATTGACATGTAATTATATATGACGATCGTACATAATAAAACACAAATACACCACAAATTCTACTTTTAGCAACGATTGCTAAAACTTGTACTGTGGCCCATAAGGGACATGCAAATTTTGCTACTTATTTTGGTTTTCAATTTTCTTTCAGATAATCATATTAAAGAAAAATGAGATGCAGAACGAAAAAAATTCAAGTTCCTTGAAAGAGTTGAATGATAAAATTTCGAGTTGCCAACACTCTTCCGCCAACAACAAGCAGGTGTGCACAAGCTAGCTTTGGAGGAGGCAGAGGCAGGGTCAGGGGGAGTCTGATATAAATGACATCCCCAATGACAAACAGTATATAACGTGTTCAAGGCATCTGTATTACAGTGAATGAGATAGCATTTATTCAGTAGGATTGTTGTCCATGATCTTAAAGGTATATAATGATCAGTTTAACTACTGTTTTACTATATATTCTTACAAACTGGAAACTTTTAAAAGTAACTATTCTAAGCATCGCCACCGTTACCGTAATGCATGCTGATGTAGGTTACCTCACCCTGAAATTTTTATCTCGAAATTTTTGCGATGACAACTTGGAATTTCGTGTTGTGACAACTGAAAATTTTGAGTTGGGGAATCAAAAAAATTCGGAAACTTTCTGAAATGAAACCAACAAAGAAAAAAAGTAGCAAAATTTGTATGTCCCTTATGGGCCACCGTAAACTTCCATTGCTTGTCAATTTGCGACAATTTTTTCAAAATTACGCCGTAGGCTACATGATGCAGTGCTCCATGGTACTTCGTCCCAACACCGTTGCGAAACAAATTGCTCCGTGTAAGCGGGCCTTAAATAAGATAGAATACTTGGACTAAGCAATGTCACGCGGTCACGCAATGACACACTATAAATAGACTGACATGTCATAGCATCACTAGTTGTTTTACCTTCCAAGTCTGTTTGAATATGCCTCCCTCACCACTGCATAAGCACCTTCACCAATCCTTGATCCAACCTTGTAGCCTTGACGAATCAAATACGTCGCCACATCATCTCCTTCATGACTTGGAACCCTGCGCAAATCAAACGACGACTGACGAAGACCAAAGTTTATAAACGTCTCACCGCCATTAGAGATTTTGAACCCTAAGATATTTTTTCCGATTATAACGAGGTACACAAGAATACAAATAACCCAAATGGCGAAGGCGATAACCTCAAAAATCATAACATTGTTGACTCGGGTTTATCATGGGCTTGCGTCAGGATGGTTCGTGCGCAGGTCCATGTTAATGTTATGACGTCGTAATGACGTAATCATTATTACGTCATAATGTAATTAATGACGTAGTTGTTGTGATTACACCTCATGATCAATTTTGTCAGGTACAGAGAAAGAGAATGTCTAGGTTTTTACGAGTGAATAATAAAGTATACTAGATATCACGACCAAATGCATTTATATATTTTTTCATTCCTTTGTTTCTTCTTCTATCTCTTTCTATCTTTCTTTACCCTGCTCTTCCCTTTTTTGTTGCGATAGCCCTTCAATCATTCTAGTCTTTCGTGCATTTTGTCCATACTTTTTTTCGTTTTTCTTTTCTTTTCTTTTCTTTCTGAACTTAATTTATGTGTGAGAATCGAAGGAGCAATAAAATACCGTTGGAGAGGGGGAGGGTAGATGCAATAACCTAAGAGGACCCCTTGATAGTCGTCATTTCTACCCTGTTAATCCTTCCCATGATTCCCATCCAATCTTCAATATTCCAAGATGGCGGCCAGTCTACTTCTCAGGTTCGTCTAAACAAATTCATTTTTTACCCAAAATAAATCCCCAAACTCAACCTCCAATACATCTTAACTGATTCTTCTATCCTCATTTTAGGAATACGGCAAGGTTTTCTCCTTTTTTGCGTTCGGGTTTGACTCGAACGTCAWGTGTTTTGATGCAAAGGTAAAATAAAGTATTGAGTTGTGACTTTGTGCACGTAATGTTTGTACAAAATTCTTTCTATTTTTGCGATTATTTAATTATATTTTGCAGAGTTTCTGTTAATACCACTCCAAAGAAGGAAGTAACAGATGGTTTTGTTGCCAAAAATTTAAAGTTAAAACGTCCTATGTCGCCACATCTTCTTATTTATAAGTAAGAATTTTTTAATCACGGTTGATTATGTAATTTAAGCTTACTTGTTTTCGTTTTGTGCAAAAGAAAAACGTCTAAATATACCAAAAAAGAGAAAAATAGAGCTTATGTTGCATAACACAGCTATACTGCCTTTTCTAGATTATCTAATTATTGCATAATTTAAGTATTTATATTTGCAGAAGACGGTAGACATAGAAATTGTTCTCTCTCTCGTTGTAAGGCCCTGGCTAAACGAGGAAACATGTTTCCAGAAACACGTTTTCTTAAATGTTTCCAAAGGTGGCAAAACTGTCAGGGAACATCGGGAACATGTTTGCTCAACATCAGTTAGCGTATGCGCACTTTCAAGATAGAGCTAGCGTTGCTAAGTAACAAACGTTTAGGATGTTGACTTTCGTGGCTAAACGAGGAGACATCGGAAACATTGTTTCCATGCRTCTTGGAAGCATGAAATGTTTCTGCCGCACAGCAGAAACATTTTTGCATCTTGGAAGCAAAATTTGTTGCATGTAGCAATGTTTAACATGTGGCTAAACTTGGAATCATCGGGGAACATGCTCGTTTAGCCAGGGCCTTAATGTAATGACTGACAATCTTGTTCTTCTAGATGGGAGTTCCATGCCTTGCTGTCTGGCTCTCATCGTATGACTGGCTTCCTCATGACTATTGGTATTTATATCTTCAATAACATTTGATATGATTGGCCATCGTAATAAACATTAATATTGCAATTGTATAAGGTTGAGCATTATCAAATCACTTATATAAGTAACTTATCAAGACCAAGTTTGTGTTTTCTGCCACAAGCTGAAATGGATAAAACTGCAAAGGTCTTGACTATTTACGATATCATATGAAAAGTAACCTTACAAAGACAATTGCCCTATTTCACTATGACGTAGCTGCTTGTTTATGTGGGGGATAGAATCGCCAAATCCAAYAGAAAATTCAACATAATTTGCTCCTAGCAAAACAATTAAATCTAAAATGGCCTGGTTTTCAGATATGATATGTGTAATATGTACTAAATAATATTCCTAGCATTTGCTGGCTATTCTACTTCTCTTCGTGGATTGATACAGGTTTTAGAACAATTTTCGGTGAAATTGCATTGATTTGACCCCCTCCGAYGACCATGATCCTTTGCGTTTAAACAATAGATTGTTGAAGATTGTTTTGTTGTGACATCATAGTCAAATAGRGCAATTCAATATGAAAACTAATAAAAAAAGTTTTGTTTTGTTTTTATTGTTTTTCTTTTATTATTTGTATTTAAAACTCATAAAATTTCATATTAGTCACAGTATTTGTTGTTCTTTCTTTTCATAGCTACAACAACATTTGCACTGTGTGCCCTGACGTTACCAGATAACTTGGAGCATTATGTGAACATAGTGAAGTCATTTGGTATTCCTAGACCAATCATMTTTACCTTTAAAGCCTTGCTGGCCTTCCCAGTCACCTACCATGGAATCAATGGAATTAGACACTTGGTATGAAATGACTTTTGCAACAACAGGTCGCGTGACCCTATCCCGCTTTAAAAAATCTTAAAAACTCATTAATAATTCATGAAATAAACACAATAGAAATCATGACCATGAAGGAGGTTTTATATCTGATATAGATTCGTCTTCATTTGCATAAACTTTAACTTGGATTTTCTCTATCAAACTTGGTTCATTTCGTAAGGAATTCGGTACAATATGAGAACTTACATCATGRGTTTTTTAAGCCGTTTAATAAACTCACAGATCGTGTTTTATCGAATTTAAAACCACTCGGCTATGCCTCGTGTTTTATACCCCTATAAAACACTCCTGCTCGTTTATTAAACATTACTTGAATATTGAGGTAAAACATAAAATATTGAGGTGCTCTTTCCATTTCTGATGTTCACTTTGACAAAACTGGGGTAGGGTAGGGGGGTAGGGTCACRTGACCTGTTGTTGCAAAAGGCCTATCGATGGCCAAAATAATTTGGCCTGGCATCTTGACCAGTAGAGTGCAAATAATACACCCGTGAAATAGTTAGGATGAAATAGGAAATAGTTAGCACTTAATTAGACAAGACATTGTACTATTAGGAATTCAGTGAGGCATGACAAGGGCACGGGCRTTTACTAGAGTGATAACTCAATACGCAAATGAATAGATAYRAAAATGTGAWCATGTAAAATTATACRAAGGAAAAAYAATATGTACAATTAAATATTGTTTCAGTTTTTGTAARTGTGTTTAAAAATATTYTAAAATGTGCGCCCTTGAGTGGCACACGTGCACTAGTTTACCCGTCACGGCTCGCCTATTTTAACTAATTAGAATTAGGCAACCAATAGCACAAAGTTAGTAATTAGTTAGCTAGCTATCTATTTCACGGGTATATTATTTGCATTCTACCTGACTAGCCATTAATTTTTTAGCTATAGTTAGTAACTAATAGATGTATATAACTTTACTGTCTTTTAGCACTGTACTGTATTCAGTTTGAACTAGTATTATTAACTGTATTTTTCATCCAATTTATAGGTCTGGGACTTGGGTAAAGGATTCTACTGGCCAACCCTCATCAAGACTGGTGCTGTCGTAGCAGTGTCTGCTGTTGCATCTGCTATTGCCCTTGCTTATTACTTGTAAACCTTTACTAGGTTGCCACCTTCATTAGCCCTTACTATGCTCGTGTTGCTTTTGGAAAAATTTATTTAATTAGGAAAAGGAATAGGCAAAATTATCATATAAATATTAGTAAACTTTCAGGGATATTGTGACGTGTATTAGAACATTCTTTATGTACTGTTTAATAAACTCGCAGGAGTGTTTTATCAGGATTTAAAAACACGAGGCATAGCTGAAACATGGGCATTGCCGAGCRTTTTTAGACCTGATAAAACATGATCTGCGAGTTTATTGAACAGCTTCAAAAGCTGATGATGTATGTTCTCATATTGTACTGAATTCTTTATGAAATGAACCATGTTTGATAGAGAAAATCCAAGTTAAAGTTTATGCAAATGAAGATGAATCTATAGACCAAATTCAAAACTCGCACCSATGTGAGGCTTAAGTTGTGAACAAAGGATTCTGGCGTGATTCATGACTTTTGAATCAAGCTAGATTACTTTGAGTCGTGCCAGATCCCTTTGTTCACAACTTAAGCCTCACATCGCATATAAAACATATAAAACATATGAAATACATTAAAACACATATAAAACACATATAAAACCTCCTTCATGGTCATGATTTCTATTGTGTTTCCTTCATGAATCATGAGTGAGTTTTTGAATGTATAAGAAATAATGTTATACTTTTTTGAAACTACTGAAGTTGATGTGTTGAAATGAATGAGGAAGGGAAAGAACTGCCCTTACATTGTACCATTTCACAATTTCAAGATTTCTTACTTTCTTTGACTTAGGAATCAAGGGTGGTGCCCCAGGTGTTGGTTTACAGTTAAGTCTCCGTCCYTTGATTGAAGGGGTTTGATCCAAGTTCTCCAGTTTTTCTCTCTCCTAACATGCAAAATAGACGACTTGCACCAACAGGTCACATGACCCTCCCTACCTCCCTTAAAAGAAGCAGTTTCATAAAAAACAACTTTATAAATAAAAAGAGCAGCGCAACATTAGCAAGAGGAGTACAATGTTTAATGTTGACTATAGGAAAAATAGCATTAAAATATATAAAATGGAATATTTTGCCATCCTGCATATTTTCCCATGTAAATCCTTATAAAATATTCCATTTTATATTTAATGTCATTTTTCCTGTTTCACTTGTGAGCTAAAATTCTGCCACCCTACCAATATCAAGGTGCTCTCACATGACCTGTTAGTGCAAGTCATCTTTTCCAATTTGATCTATGAGCTAGTCTGCGCTTTATCTTAAGTCATGATTTAAAAATCACCTCGGAGGTTGTTTTAGAGATTGATAAAAATGAGTTTATCTTAATAGGTACAATCCAGATATTATCTTCACAGTTTTATAGATATAARTATGGCAAATTGGATTCCTTTTTCAATAAATCAAATTGCTACATCTGCATAGAAAGGGTCTATGAYGTGCAAAAATATTCATGCATGAATTATCATGTAATTCCATCTAAAAAGCTAAAATAATTTTGGTAGTACTGTATATAAGACCTTGATCGTGACCAAAGATAGGTTTAACGTAGTGTCATGCTGTTCCCTAGCCACTCTACTCGTATACTAAACCTAATTGATGAATTTAAAAGTACAGTAAAAAGTACAGTAAAAAGGCAACGTGAATCAGCTGCAGCTCCAGCTTCGCCTAATGTGGTAAACGCCAATTATTTTTATGATAACAACGATAAAAACTTCTCATTTTTAGTGATCAAAACAACCAACTGAAAGAGTGTGTGCTCGCTGACGTCAGCTTTATCTGTCTTTCCTCTTATTGATRATAAAAAATAACCAATCAGCGCGCAAGAAATTTGTAAGTTATTGTAAACTCGGCAATAGCTAMAAAATGTTTTGGAATTGAACTTATGTTATACTTGGTTTGGTACACGAGTAAAGCGTTGTAATGGGACTGACCTTATCATTATTTCTGTTCCATTGGAATATTTTTCATTAAAATGTTTTAATTATGTAACAACATTGTATTTCTGACAGTTTTGTGGAATAAAAATAAAGATAAAATGTTAAAACAAACCCATTGAAAATAGAACTGATAGAAAATAGCAATGTTTTCAAGATTTAAATATTTTGCACATAYGGCTAATTGAAAAAACGTCCGGTTCAAAAAAAGGTTATATYATCAAAGCTAAGGCRAAAGGGAAGCATGGAAAAACAATTATGCTAATTTCATGCGTATTGCAGTTTYCCCTTCCTGTGCACATTTTATGCATCATGRCTTTGRCATGTTGTTRATCTARGTYGACCGACTTTGCTCTACTGTGCATWTTTACATGTCTWTATGCAAATATAATACACATTTCSGAGTACCCAAAATCCTTTTTGGTCTTAGCTTYGATTATGTGACCTCGAACCCGACTACGTYTTTTCAATTASGTGTATRCTAATATCAGTTTCACAGAAATTTGGGAGTCAAAACAATCACTGATGACAAAAAATATTTGCAAAAATTTTGTTTATTTTGGTAATCATCAATTATGTTGGAGAAATGTTTTTAAAAGAATGAGAACTTACTGATGGGAAATAGAAAAAAAAGAAAAATAGGATAAACATGCAGTCAGTGGGTTTCCTATATCTTTCCCAATTTTATTTCCATTTTCAATTCAAAAAATGCCATGAACAGGTTTTATCTTAACTTTTTTTCACCTTCACTACGTATGTATACTCTCCTCAGACCTTACCCACTCCTTGGAAATTCCAATCCCCCTCCATGGGTGAAGTATGGACATTTTCTGGAACTACACGATATACCCTTCTCAGACCCTCCCCACCCCTTGGGAATTCCAATCCCCCTCCATGGGTGAGGTATGGATATTTTCTGGTACTACAGAGTATACCCTCCTCAGACCCTCCCCACCCCTTGGAAATTCCAATCCCCCTCCATGGGGGAGGTATTGATATTTTCTGGTACTACACAATATACCCTCCTCAGACCCTCCCCACTCCTTGGAAATATCAATCCCCCTCCATGGGTGAGGTATGGATATTTTCTGGTACTACACAATATACCCTTCTCAGACCCTCCCCACCCCTTGGGAATTCCCATCCCCCTCCATGGGGAAGGTATGGATATTTTCCGGTACTACAGAGTATACCCTCCTCAGACCCTCTCCACCCCTTGGAAATTCCGATCCCCCTCCATGGGTGAGGTATGGATGTTTTCTGGTACTACACAATATACCCTCCTCAGACCCTCCCCACCCCTTGGAAATTCCAATCCCCCTCCATGGGTGAGGTATGGATGTTTTCTGGTACTACACAATATACCCTCCTCAGACCCTCCCCACCCCTTGGAAATTCAAATCCCCTCTTTGGGGAAAGTATGAATAATTATTTTCTAATTATTTTTCTAAAATAAAATCTTTGACATTTACCAATAATTATAATTTCTTTACTGATAAGTTGCATTTKCTCTTCAATCCCAAAATCAAGAATTCAATATATCATCTCATAAATTCAATTCCTTTCTCATAAATATGAAACTTTTTAACAGCATTAGTTTTTGGAGTTGTTCTTTGGGCAGTATAAACTGCTTGAGATCTAGATGAYGTGTCGTACTCCGTATGGGATCTAAATAAATATCTATATCTTACAACACTCAACCACGACTTGCATAAATAATTCTCAACTCCATCTTGAGTTCTTTTGCTTGCACTGAAAATTGCATGTGTTGTAGCAATGAATACCAAATGATGCTCCTTGACGTATTTCTGTATCACTTCAATTAACTTTCTCATCTTTTCTTCCTGATCAGTAGTGCTTTCTCCACCCGTGCTTCTATCAATCCAGTAAAATGCACTCAAGCTATCGATCATAACAACACATACTTCCGGCTTGGCTATTAGCATTTGCTCAAGTGACAACATTGATGCAAGTAGCTCGAGACTACTGTTACAGCGCAATATGAACAGACGTGCCAAACATACTCTAATAAAATCCTCAATATCTTTTGAAGTATCTTTACTTGACGATGCYGAGGCATGATTAAAAACAAACTTTTCCTCAAATTTTGGAATTCCAGTTCTTTCGTTTATTTGTCTCATAGCTCTGTGTATTCGATACTCCATTATTGTAACAAGTCTCAGAAGTTGAAAGTGAAAGTCTGTGTCAACAAATATTACTCCAACACCTCTTCCTCCCAGATGTATGTCTTTCCATGATTTTGGCAAAATACAGTTTGCTATTAGATGTAGAAGCATCTCTGTTTTTCCACACCCTTCTGCTCCGTGGAATTCTATCACATCTCCTGGTTTTACACCTTGTGGGATGTCAGAAAAGAAAACAGTGTCTAACCCCTCCAGAGACTGTTTAGAACCAAGACGGGAAAATAGCTGCAAACGCCAAGATAKTAAAACACGAAATTAACCCTAATTTCAAAATAATTAATGAATACGAATAACAAATCTAAATTATTATCAATTATTTTGTCTAAGCTCATACATTCAATGAACTCTAACAAGAKGATATTCTCAAAATAAGCTGTCGAACTTAGCATAGACTATAGCCAGCAAATAAGCTCAAGTTCACAAATATTCTTTTTGATTTCGAAAAATGCAAAGATAGGTAAAAAAAAAATCGATCTTCTCTCTCAATGATTTCCAAATTCTCAATTCAATTTAACTTTAATTTATAAGATGTCAAAGTTTAGCTCTAAGTAGGTTTTTTCAGAAGCAAAAAAGCAAAATATTAAGTCTAAGATGAGCTGAAGTTTTCCAAAGTCGATTCGATGATGCAATGAATTGAAATTTTAAAAAAATATTTTAAAGACGATAAATTTGCTAAAAAAAGATTAGACACTTTTTATATGTAGGAGACAGGATTAAGATGTACAATTATGACGAAATCTAGAGTAAAACAATTGTAGATTTACTAACCTGAGCTGCAGACTCAGCTGCCATGTTGATCGAAAGTTGTTGACCGATTGG